CTGGTTTTGTTGTCTCTTCCTGCACAGTTTAACCAATTTAAGGTCAGTTATAACTGTCAAAAGGAGAAATGGACTCTAAATGAGCTCATTTCATACTGTGTGCAAGAAGAAGACAGGTTGAAGCAAGATAAGACAGAAAGTGCTCATTTGGCCTATGCCTCTAAGGATAAGGGCAAGAAAAGGAAGAATGATAAGGAAGCTGCTAAGGGTCCAGTTGAGAAGAAACAACATAAGGATAATCAGGGTTGTTTCTTCTGTAAGAAGCCTGGACATGTAAAGAAGGACTGTACAAAATATCACGCCTGGCGTGATAATAAGGGTACGTTCCTTGCTTTGGTCTGTTCTGAGGTTAATTTAGCTTCAGTACCTAGAAACACTTGGTGGTTAGACTCTGGTGCTACTACTCACATAAGTGTTTCTATGCAGGGTTGCCTGAGCTACCGAAAGCCAAGTGATGTTGAAAGACACATCTTTGTGGGCGACGGACAATCGGTAGATGTGGAAGCAATTGGGCACTTTAGGTTGTTGTTAGGAACTGGTTATTATTTGGATTTAAAAGATACTTTTGTAGTACCGTCTTTTAGACGGAATTTGGTTTCTGTTTCTGTATTGGACAAATCAGGTTATTCTTGTTCATTTGGAAACAGTCAATTCAGTTTATCTTTTAATTCAAATGTTGTGGGAACCGGTTACTTGAGTATTTATGACAACCTATATTTGCTTGATACAATTGCTTCTTACAATGAATCCTTGCATGTGGAATCACGTGGTACTAAGCGTAAATTAAATAAGGAAAATTCGGCGACATTATGGCATAAGCGCTTAGGTCATATCTCAAAAGGTAGAGTTGAGCGTCTTGTGTCTGATGGCATTTTGGATTCCCTTGATTTTTCGGACTTCGACGTATGTGTTGAATGTATCAAGGGAAAACAGACCAAAGTGAAGAGATTAGGTGCCAACAGATCTTCGGATGTCTTAGAATTGATACATACGGATATTTGTGGGCCATTCCCTACGGAATCCTGGAATGGTCAACAATATTTTATATCATTCATAGACGATTACTCACGTTATGGGCACCTATATCTTATTCATGAAAAATCTGAGTCTCTGGACATGTTCAAAGCCTATAAAGCTGAAGTTGAGAATCAACTCAACAGAAGAATTAAAACCGTCAGATCTGATCGTGGTGGTGAGTACTACGGTAGATATGATGGTTCAGGTGAACAACGTCCAGGACCATTTGCTAGATACCTAGAGGAATGCGGTATCGTCCCACAGTACACTATGCCGGGTTCACCTAGCATGAATGGTGTAGCTGAAAGACGAAACAGGACTCTTAAGGATATGGTAAGAAGTATGATTGCTCATTCTTCTTTACCAGAGTCACTCTGGGGAGAAGCACTTAAGACAGCAGCTTACATTCTGAATAGAGTACCAAGTAAAGCAGTTGCTAAAACACCTTATGAGCTTTGGACTGGTCGAAAGCCCAGTTTAAAGCATTTACATATTTGGGGATGTCCAGCTGAGGCAAGGCCTTATAGGCCAAATGAAAAGAAATTGGACTCCAAAACAGTTAGCAGCTACTTTATTGGGTACCCTGATCGCTCTAGGGGCTATAAGTTTTATGATCCCACTATAAGGAATATTTTTGAGACGGGAACAGCAACATTCTTTGAGGATGTTGAGTTTGGGGGGAGAAATAAGGTTAGAGACATTAGTTTTGAGGAGGAATTGGCTTCAGATCCAATCCATACAGTTACTTTTGACAATATTCAGGTTCCTATACCTGTTGTTGCTCAAGAAGTAAATCCGGAACCTCAAGATGATAATGTTGAACAACTCCCTGTTCCAGAAGAACAAACTCAACAACCTCAAGAACCAGTGCCATTAAGGAGATCCACGAGAGAAAGGAGAAATGCTATTCCGGATGATTATATTGTATTTCTCCAAGAACATGAGGAAAGTAGTGGAATGTTAGAAGATGATCCAATCAACTTCTCTCAGGCCATGAAAAGTTCTAACTCTCAACAGTGGATTGATGCCATGAATGAAGAGTATAAGTCTATGCAAGACAATAAGGTTTGGGAACTTGTCCCATTGCCAGAAGGTGCAAAACCAATTGGTTGTAAATGGATTTTTAAAACCAAGCGGGATGCAAACGGTAATGTGGAGAGGTATAAGGCGCGTCTTGTGGCTAAAGGCTATACTCAAAAGGAAGGCATTGATTATACAGAGACTTTCTCTCCGGTTTCATCGAAAGACTCTTTCAGAATAATCATGGCACTTGTTGCTCATTATGATCTTGAGTTACATCAGATGGATGTTAAGACTGCATTTCTCAATGGAGACATTGATGAGATGATTTATATGGTGCAACCAGAAAACTTTGTGTCAGGAGACCCAAAGAATATGGTTTGCAAATTAAGGAAATCCATCTATGGACTCAAGCAAGCTCCTCGTCAATGGTATCATAAGTTTCAACAAATAGTTATCTCGTTCGGTTTTGAGATGAACATTGTTGATGACTGTGTATATCACAAGTTCAGTGGGAGTAAGTATATTTTTCTGGTTCTGTATGTGGATGACATCTTGCTTGCCACTAATGATATAGGCATGTTGCACGAAACCAAGAGATTTCTATCAAAGAATTTTGAGATGAAAGATCTTGGGGACGCCTCTTTTATATTAGGGATCCAGATACATCGAGATCGCTCTCGGGGTATTCTTGGATTATCACAAAAGAGCTATATCGATAAGGTACTTAAAAGGTTTGGCATGCAAGATTGCAGACCAGGTGACACCCCTGTTGCTAAAGGAGACAAGTTTAGTCTCAATCAGTGCCCTAAAGGTAACCTTGAAATTCAGGAAATGCAGAAGATTCCTTATGCTTCGGCTGTAGGAAGTCTAATGTATGCTCAGGTATGTACGCGTCCGGATATTGCGTACATTGTTGGGATGTTAGGCAGATACTTAAGCAACCCTGGTATGGATCATTGGATAGCAGTCAAAAGGGTTATGAGGTATCTTCAGAAAACAAAAGATTACATGCTCACATACAGAAAATCAGAGAAATTAGAGGTCATTGGGTATTCGGACTCTGATTTTGCTGGATGCCAAGATAGCAGGAAGTCTACATCAGGCTACATTTATATGTTAGCAGGAGGAGCTATATCATGGAAAAGTGTCAAACAAACACTAGTAGCTTCCTCCACTATGGCAGCAGAATTTGTAGCTTGCTATGAGGCATCCAATCAGGGAATATGGCTGCGAAATTTTGTCACGGGACTGCGCATTTTGGAAAATGTTGAAAGACCACTAAGGTTATATTGTGACAATAAATCTGCAGTAATGTATTCCAATAACAACAGGAGCTCAACTAAGTCAAAACATATTGACATTAAGTTCCTGGTTGTGAAAGAAAGGGTACAGAGTGGACAGATATCCATAGAGCACATTGGGACAAACTCCATGATAGCTGATCCTCTTACTAAGGGATTGCCACCTAAGGTCTTTCATGAGCATACTGCTCATATGGGTGTGGTATTATTTGAGGATATTATGTTTTAGTGGGAGTTTGTATTTGTGGTGCTTTATGTTTGGTTGTATTGTCTGATCAGAATAAAGTATTCAGTTAAGACACTCTGTTACATTATGTTTGGTTTTGACCTCACTAAGGAGGACCAGTTGAAAATAGACATGTACTGATCACATTGCATGTAATTTTCATGCTGCACATCCATGATTGATCTATGTCGTTTGATTGTATTGGTATATGTGACCATTGATGGGTCGAGTCACGATAAATGTGACGAAGGCCGCTTTGATCCTATATTGATATAGTCAATGGACGAGATTGTTCGGAAATACCATTTCAGTGATAGCAATTTTTGAGCTCATAAGGTTATACACAATTTAAGGAATCATATGGTGCCCAAGTGGGAGATTGTTGGATTTAATCTAATAAATCTATTTGTGGGCACATATGATTAATCAATGTGTATTGCTATCTTTCAGGATAACCCACTAAAGTGATCAATTAAGTTGGGTTAATTTGGTATTTAAATAAGTCATGGGGTTATATGTGCAGATACCAGGTTGTAATTGTGATTTATTGAGGGGCTAAATTACAAAAGTACAACATCTATAAATAAGGGGTTATGGTCCCTAACCTAGGGTTACATTCTCTAATTCTCTACACCCCCATCTAGCTAGAGAAATTCGGATTTAGAGAAACCCTAAGGTTAGAAGATCCAAAACCCATCTCAAGGTTCATCCATGGATTTAGGTATAAGATTCCGCTCTTTTGATTATTGTTAATCTCTTTGAATTAATCATGGCTATATGGTTTTAGATCTCAAGTTTTGATTTAGATCTAACACAAACTACAAACTATTCATGCTACAATGTAACTCAGAACAATGAAAAGCACTCATCAAGCAACAACACAATTTAAAAAATAAAAACACTGTTCATAATACAATTTAAACCATTGAACATACACTTTATGCTACAAAATTTTTTGGCCCTTATCCACTGTTCAAGCTAAACTAAAATTTTGAACCTTGAAGACATTGTTCATATCTACTTTTTTTTTTTGTTCTCGCATATGATAATTGAAAACTATATTAGACATTTTATAAATATAAATCATCACTGGCTCTTTAAAAAAATTGATAAAACTTAATAATTGGCATATTATTTTGTTAAGTGATTTGAAGATTCACTCTATAAATAGTAGTAAAAATTTTATCACTAAAGTTTTTATAAATAATTATTTTTAAAAATTATATTATTAATATAACGATAGATATATGCGCGGTCTTAAGTTTAGATAAAGAACTATTGATTCAGGCAGGCCCAGTCCATTAGAACCTCGCAAACTCATAGGTGACTGGCCCACCGTTATCATATAACGGATAAATGCCGAAAAAATCTCTGCCACTAAAAAATTTGGTTTTTTAAAATAGTTATTAATAACACATTAATTCTCTAAATTAAGACATTTTGTCTGTTAACACTCAATGGTCTTGCTGCACGCCACCGAGATTGGAGTAAACCCTAATAAGCAGTTAAAGCAACAGAAAGCAGTCTCTTAAGATCGAAGAAACCCAAAAAAGGGGTACATTTTCTTCTCAAATCCTCACAAGGGCGACTCCTTTTTGGCTCAATCGCTGAAGGAAATCGAACAGAAAGCAAAAGATTCGATTTTGATTCAAGGGTTTTGTTCTATTGAGAAAAAGGGGTTAATTTACTCTGGAATTGGGCACGATGCAGTGGGTCAACGGAAAGATCGTTGATCCTCTCCTTCAAATCGTCAAAAGGTACTTGCTTTTGTATCCTATTGCCGTCAATTCGATTGCCCATCTTAGTTCTCTGTAACATTTTTGAAGTTTTGCGATACCCATTAGTTGTTTATTGATCTTATGTTGTGATCACTACAACAGGGGTCATCCTTAAGGTGAAAATTTTGAGGTTTAATGTAAATAGTTATAGATTTATGATTAAGTATTTAGGTTTTTTTGCTATGTGATTTGTGATTTTTTAATGTAATATAAAGCAACGTTGTATGTTTAAGTTCAATTACTTGTTTTCAAAAGGTTATCTCGCTTTAGGAGTGATATAGTACTGAAATATGCATTCACTTTATTTAGAGAATATTCCTAAGAAATTCTTGGATATGTGATTCAATAGGGGAGCAGAACCAAAGCAGCTGGCATTTTCTACTGCTCTTGGCATTACACTGGGAGTTTTCCCCATCTGTGGTAAGGATATTTTACTTGATTTTATGTTTATAGAAGGAGATGTGTACTGCTATGATGTAAGATTGGGCTTCTAGTTTAAGTTTGTTCGGCTTACAATGTGGTGCACTATTCTATTGGCTTTGCTTAAGTTTACATTCCAACTGATTCCATGAAGTAAAATCAGTACTATGAAGCACATGGAAGTGGACGTGAATAATGGTATCTTAGAGTTGTGGGTATCGAATTGCCATTAATTGAATGAACAAAACGCGCGGATCCTACAAAAGTTGCTGGCCTGTAATACACGAAAAGACATTGTTTTGAATTAGGAACCCTGAGGATCAGTTATAACTCAGAGCTTTTGTGTGTAAAATATTAAAATATTATATTGAAATTAAGAAGATTACTTATACCTCTACTTGCGATAAATTAATTAACTTAAAAAATAATGCTTAGTCAAATTTATCTAAACCTTACATATGGAAAATGTAATAGCTTATGGATGCTTGGATAGTTCAAATTATAGTTTCTTCTACGTCTTTGTAACTTTGAGACTTTCACCTTTCTCTTTGATAAACAATAGATAGTTCACCAGATAAGTTAACTGCTGAAGACTATTTTTACTTCTTTTTTACAAGTCTATAACTGCAAGTATTATCTAGAACAGTCTTCCGTTAGATGAACAAGACATTTTCAGCTAAAATTACAAAGATTATTATAATGCCAGCGTTAGCTGTGAGCATATAATTCTCACTCAAAGCAGCTTTCACATATAAGAGTCCACAGTAAGTATGTCCCTAACATTTGTTGTTTTATGACTTTGCTCTCAACAAGTGTTGGAGAATCATTACAAGGTCATTGGTGCGACGAATGCTGATGCTTTTTGGAAAGCCTAGTGCATGTGTAATCTTATTTGGACTGTTAATGACAATGGGATAGAGTAGTATTACCCTAATAGAGCTCGTAAGCATTAGAAGTAATTGAATAATAAATCTAGAATTTGAAATTATATAGCACTCCCCTGAACAGTGTATATGGGCATTTTCAAGTGTTAGGATTATTTTTGTTTGTTGCTTCTAGGTCATTTGCCCGCACTTAATGTTATATCACCATCCATTGTTAATCCTTGTACTTCAATGTGTGCATGGCGAATCTAAATGGCACCAAAGTCTAAAGTCAAATTTATAATTTTTTTTTATTTATTCATTGAGCACATGCATATCACATTTTTCCAATACAAATTTATAGAGACATGCCAATTGATCACTTGGTCAACTTATCACCAACTCTGAAGATGAGGTCTCAGGATAATATTCTCCTTACATGCGAATCAAAAGATCAACATATATAATTTGTTAGCTATTTTATTAATTTTTCCAAAATGATAAACTAGTTATGAATGACTTAAAGGCATTGTGGTGATACATTTGTTTGTCCTTTTGTTTTAGTTTTAACTTTCAACTTAGTGTACAGAAGGAAATTCAAAAGTTTATCCTCATTAAATGTCAAATGATTTTTGTTTCTGATAGGGGTCACAGTATTTCTTTGTGGGTTGGCTATAGCATCATTGGGCAGCCGTTGTCATGCTCCAAGTGTAATGCTTGCTAATTTCATTGCTACACCGATTGAGCTAAGGTGAGTTTGGTACTGTAAAATTCTAAAATTTCCTTGCTTTCTAGATAACATGCTGCTCATGTTCTCTCCTAATAAGAATTATTTTATGTTACTAAATATTACTTGCATTTAATCATGGTGCTTAATTTTCTTTGAGATATCCATCTGAACCTTATTCTAATATTTTTGACAACTTCCATTGTATATAATAAGTAATAACAAACATAAACGACCCCTGTGAACTTTTGAACTTTTCATTAGCTTTGGCAGTACAACCATGCAAGGTCTTAAATATCGATTATCAGTGATTTATCTGACAGTTAAAATCCATATCGGATAGCAGATATCAGGGATATATTGGTGATAAGTAGTATTTATCGGAGTGATAATACCGGATGGTGATAAATACATAATATAATATTCTAAAATATAATTTAATCATACTTAATGAAATATAAACATACCAAAATGTAAATAATTATGTTTAGGATCACTAACCAATTGTAGAAACTCGGGCCGAGTCAGGTATAAAGTGCATTGAATAGGTGCTTATTGCCTGAAATCTAAACCAAACCAAATGCCGATAATTTTAATTTTTGAGCTGACAATATCGGCCAATAACTTACTTTATCGTTGCTTTATCGGCGATAAACATCCAACAATGTTAACCGATTTAGAATCGAACTTATCATAGAGGAAGACCCCTAAAACCGATAAATCTATGATAATATCGGTTTATCGGCGAATATTTAAAATATTACGACCATGTCACTTGAGAGATAATCAATAAACTATAATCTATGCTTAGCCATGTCGCTCAAGAGGTTATGAATGAACTGCAATCTATGCTTAGTCCCGTATATATACAGGATTATCCTCAGCAAATCTTATAGATATTTTCCCTATTAAACTCAGCTCTAGCCGACTTAAAAGGTTTCAAGTTAAGCTTGAACCTCGGTTTAGTTCATTTTATAAAGATTGGACCTTAAAATTTTACGAGCATTTGTATTTTAAGGATATGCTTTCACCTACTCAACCCATAGCCCATATCTTAATAGATTTGGATCATTTCCACTACCAGGAATTTGTGAAGAGATCACTAATTTTATCAGAGCCGTTGATTTGTCAAGTGGGTGGTTATAATTCATTCTTAGTCTAACGCTCCTCGTACCCCCATGAATTGTAGTCATTCCTAATTTGTACTCAAAAGAAAAAATCACAACCATCAACTAAACAAACCAACAACTCAAATAAAAGTATTGGTCTCTCCACTACTTTTTGGTGGTGGAGAGGATGCGAATCCTATCTTAATATTCTAATTGCCATGCTTATTGCCAATTTCTAGTCTGGTAATACCTTTTTTGCGATTGGGCGAATTCATCTCTGGCGGCCCTCGCTTTCCATTAACATCCGATGCAATGAAGAAGGTATTGACGGGCCATGCATCGCGAGAAGTACTTATCAGTGTAATTCATGCGGTAAGTAAGATTAGCTTTTAAGAAATATTTTACCTAAACTACTGAAAACACAATACTAACGATCTCAAACTTTTTGCTATAGTTGTTGGGGTGGATCATTGCAGGCCCTCTCATACTTGGTGTGCTATATACAATTTTTCTTCCAGCTTTCAAGTATCTTGTTCGCAATTTCAACACTCTACCGCCAAGTCCGAAGGATCTCTCTCCTCGTGCTGAGATCAAGGTGAAGGTTAGGGATGTTTAGTCCTGGTTTGAGGGAGGAGAAGAGAATTTGTACATATTTTACTTCTGAATGCTGATGTGGATGGTAATTTGCTGATATTTCTTGCTCACCCACCTTTAAATTATCAGCCATGACATGTGTATGAAAATAAATTAGCCTCGTGTTCAGGATTTTATGTTTTTATTTGGGGGCCAATGCAAGAAGAGGCTACTACAAAATTTGGATTTGCTTTGATGCCGCTGAGGAGATGCCATTCTTTCTATATTGATAACGCTAAGATGCTCAAGGATGTTTGTTTGTATGAAGGAAAATGTAGCTTGGAATCTATCTATACTATAATATAAAAAACCAACCATGGATACCATAGAGTTTGGATGATCTTGTACATCACCATGGAAAAGAGAGGGGCATAATGGTAATATCGCGGGTCAAAGTGAGCAAGCACATATGCCTCCAAGTTTCAAGCTGTTTGGGGGCACTGGGCGTCCTTGAGGGCATATGACGGTAATTTCCATGCCCCCACCATGACTGAGGTAACACAG